ACTTTCTTTTCCTGCAAGAAACTTTGATCAGCTTTAGCCAGTATTACTAATAGTGTGGAAGGGTGAGAATAGATAGTCTGGATCAAAACATGAGAACAAAGCAGACCTAATCTTGGAAGAGAAAACATATCCGTGTCAAGGGTGCATAGCAGTTCATCAGCCCTGATGACAAGAAAAGGACATATTCCATTAATTGGTTGCTGTTATGAGAAAGATAATCATGATCAATCCAATAGGTTATCACCTTCATAATTGTGACAGTCTTTCTCAGCATCCAATCAATGCAGCTATGTTCTCCTCTTTCTTATATAACTGGTGAGGAAAGCCTTTACTAATGCATTTACTGTTATTTTGAAATATATCCCTTCATTATTTTCAACAATTAAAGTTGGGAAATATAATTTATTCTTTTTTTTAGAATGCATTATTAATGTTTTCATTAAAGTGTATTACTTTCCTTCCTATAATATTTCTAAATTCTAACTATAATTCTTATTTAGAGCTTCATTCTAACCCATGTTTAGTACGTTCAGTTAATCTTGCTATTTCCTGAAACCTATTATCTGTGTTATTATTTCTATTGGCTTCGAACATTTTTTTTGTATTAAATTTAAAGTTATAGTTTTTATCTTTCTAGCGGCTAGCTAAGGCTGTCGGTGGAAAATGCAGTATTCCAAGAAGACCACAAGATGCTACAAACGAGTGTTTTAACTAGGTTTCCGAAAAGAGAATGCAACACTTCCAAATTATATTACAAGTCATAAGAAAGACAATATTATATCTGAATGCTCAGTTGAAAGAATGAAAGAATGAGAATGCACAAAAAAAGTAAATTAGATTGAGGACCAAATCAAACAGCACAATGTTCTTGACTTAACATTTTACCTATTTCCATAGAGACAGAAAACTTCCTGACGCAAAATTGTTCTCTGCTTCAGTGTTCTTGGAGTGCTCCAGGTTTTTGGAAATCCCAAACTTTTCACAGAGAATTCTGGAAAGAATACTTGTGTTTCTTACCCAGTCCCTTTTTCTGGCTTCTCTACCATTGCAACCCTTCTCTGTAGAGAGAGAGATTAGGGATATCTCCCCTTGGATACTTGATAGAGAAAATTTTGTTTCCAGCAAGCACCCTGCAGTTTTGTGAATGCCTAGCAAGAAGGCCTAATCACAATAGTCTTCAAACTATTTTTGTTTCATTTTGCTGAATCTAAACTTCCTTAAGTAAACCTTTCCAATTCTTGAATCGAATGGAACTATGTTGCATGGTGGGTGTTATTGCTACTTATGTTGATTTCATACCGCACACAAACCCTTGGATGCCACTCAGGATTTAAGTTCATGACCATCTATCTTGTTGGTCACATGATTATTTTAATATTTGGATTACCTCATACCATTAGGTTGTCATGGCTCATCATGAACATCTTTTTTACCATGGGTCAAGACTATTTTTCCATTTATTTCCTAATTTCTGAAAAATCTTGTCTCACTACTTAATTACATTGGCTTTAATACATTTGCCTTTTGGTTAATTGTAGTTGTTATTGCTCACATTTTAACAAAACATTTAGCAGTTAAATTTAGTAAGATTACATATTTTAAATTGACAAAATACCCATCAACTTAAAAAAATATTTTTCAGATAAGAAAGTTTTAGCATTTAAGTTGGGAACAAAAACCACTAAAGGAAAAAAAAAGCCATATTTCAAGTAAAATAAACACTATCCTTTCATGAACTGCAATTCTATTTTATTATAGTTGGTAAGCATTATAAACAATACAGTTAAAATTATACTTAATATCACAGTGAGTCTGTTCAAAAACACAAACACAACATGATTGAAAATAGTTCAGGTCACAGGATCTAAAAACAAATAGTCAGTACAAATGTCAACTATTTGAATTGGTCATGTCAGAAAACCTGGTGGTGTACCATTCTGGAGATGGCTATTAGATTAAGAAATACCCCACCTTTTCCTGTATATTTTGTGTTCCTTTCCTCCCCATCTTTTAACTGCGACTATTATTATTTATTGTTTTATAATTTTAATGCCTTCTGGCTTTAATGCTTATAAACTGCTGATGTTGACATCTCTTGGCAAGATGAGCAGCATATAAATCAAATAAATAAATAAACAGACACTGTAAGAAATACTAGAATTCCATTTTATTGATATACAGTAACAGAATCTTGAAAACCTGGTGTTTTTACCTCCCATCCCTTTTTTTTTTTAACTAAAAAGAGTTAATCTTGAGTTTCTTTTGTTTTCAGTTTTCCTGAGCAAAAAACATGATTTAGTAACAGCTGCCACATGGTTTCTTTAAGTCGATCTCTGTATCCCTCTAATAAGGAATTAAAACTGTCATGGCAATCTGGGTGAAGACCAAGGTGGAGACCAGGCATACTTTAGCTCTGGGGCTGCTTGGAGGAGGATCTCCTTAGGTGATCTGATTTGTTTAGCTCACTTTTCATGAAAAGCCATCACAAATACGTACAAATCTACATTTGCTTCCGTTGAAATCTCTCTGATATGACTTCTAACTTCCAGGAAACCAAAATTAATAAGAGTTGGAGGCATATCTGCTTACTGTATTGCTTACACGTTAATTGTTGATTTAACAATTGTTTAATAAAAAGACTAGACAGCCAGTTTAGTGGTTAAGGCATCAGGTTAGGAACTGTGAGACCAGGAGTTCTAGTCCTACAATGTCTCTCTCAGTTCTAGGAAGGAAGTGAGAGCAAGCCACTTCTGAAAACCCTTGCCAAGAAAACTGCAGGGACTTCTCTGGACAGTCTCCAAGAAGTGAAAATGACTGAATGGAAGTAAAATAAAAAACAATAAGTTTATTTCTTCTCCAGATGAAGAACAAAGGCTATAAGGCCATTAATCCGTACTCTTTTAATCTACACAGCTTTGCTATTGAGAAGCAGAAGGCTCCTGAACTGCTTCAAGAAGCTGAAAGCTGAGACTTCTACAAAACAGGATTTGCCATATTTTTCTTCCCTAATATCCTTTTCTACATGACAAATGGAAATACTCAGTCACTTATGGTCCACTGGTTGGGATAATGGGAAAAGAAAGGTCGCATGTTTCATCACTTGGCTGCATCAAAACAGATTGGTATCTATTTTGTGTCTTCCCCAATAACCACTCACCATTTTGGTGAAGAGAACAGAATTGAACTTGGGTCAGGAAAGGCCTTTGATCAAATCTCAACTCAACCACAAATGACACGCAGCAACCTGCCATAACTTATTGCAAAGGTCTGTGCCTATTGTGCCTGAAAAGAGTACCTCCATATTCCATCAACCTCAATCTTACTCTACTGTAGAGGAAAATCAATTTTACAGCCCACAAAACAGTTATAGTGTTAAGCAGGCTTAAATCTAAATTTGCTCTTACCATGTTTGTAATGCTGTTGAATTATGACCAGTACCTTAAGTACTTGGTTTTAGCACTAATGATGATTCTGCAACTAGCCTTCCTTTTTTCCTATTACTTCACGGGTGTCAAACTCGCTGTGTCACATTGATGTCACATGACATATTGCAACATTTTTTGGCCTTTGGCATGTGAGGTCAGGAAGGTTAGTCGTCACTGCCCTAAATAATACTTTTTCAGTTTGCAATAATACATTTGGTTTGAAATCTTGCTTATAAAGTCTTGGGTTTACAGGTCTTTCCCACTGGGACTTAACCATCACACAAACACGGCATGGCATCTTCTTTTTTTCCTGCCATTTCATGTCATTCCCTACTTATGAGGGAAACAACTTTCAATTATTCTTACGTCGATCAACCTGATAGCAATGGCAACAGTAATGTTTCCCCCTTTATTACAAACCTGTCCATGAGCGGCCACAATAATGTTAGGCTTCTATATTCATTGCCTTGAATGACTGGCATTGATTGAGAACAGAAACAAAAGAGGCAGGCAAGACATCAGCAATGGGAACAGCACATTTCAGGTCACTATTGTGTCCTGGGACCTCAAGGCTTGGTGGATAAGACTACCTCAGCAATGAGGAAAGGCTACAGATAAATCAACTCCCTCCCCTCCGCCCCCCCGAAATGAGGTACTGCCTAATCGTAAACATACTTTAGGGGGAATCAACTGGGATTTTTGAATTGCCAACATGCAAATTCAATTCTTGGCAGTTTAATTCTCAGTTAGTTCCAAGGACGTTGATCCAACGCCCCACTCCTGAGATAAAACTCTGAGCAGCCTATGCGTTTCTATTTTCTCCTAATTCTCCTCTTACGAAAGCGGTAAAAACAGCCCCAATATTGCTCATTTTGCCTCAGTCTTAGAGGAGGGAGAAGATTTCGAGGCAGCAGAGAAGCGTGTCCCCCATTCCCCCACCCCCGCTCTCTCACACCCCCCGCTTCACGTGTGAGGAGGAGCGGCCCGAGCGTGCGTCCTCTTTTCTTTGCCGAACAATCCCAGGACCGGCGCGCGGCTCAGCAAGGTGCCCGGGGGGCGCTTGTTACACGCGCCGCCGCCGCCGCCCCCGCCGCGCACGGGCAAGTAAGTGGTGGCGGTCGGGAAAGAGGGGGCGTGGCGACCTGGAGTCGGACCCCCCCCTTCTGTCCCGGTCCCGGGGGAGGAGGAGGCTGGCGGCATCGGCATCACGTGGACCCCACTCCCATCTTCTCCCCCTCCCCCTGCCTCCATCTCCCCCTCCCTTCCCTTTGTTGTAGCCCGAGCGGTAGCGGCGACGCTGGCAGTAGCAGCGGCGGCGGCGGCGGCATAGACGACGCCAGCAGGAGCAGCGCACAAAAGGGGCGCGGGGAGGCAAGGCTGTCCCTGCCGGCTCCCGGAAGCCTGAGGAAAAAGGAAAACACCAAACAACCCGCCAGAAAGCGAATTCGGACAAGGACGAGGCGGCCCGGGATGCGGAGCGCTGGCTGGCAGCAAGGCCGGTGGGTCCGCGCTCCTCCCGGCGGCGCCCATTGAGACCCAGAAGGGCCTCCGGTCCCCCCTTTGCAAGCCCTCGCCATGGCGGCTACCGCCCGGCCCCGGACCTCGCCCGGCTGCAACCACGCCGTGTTCCTCATCCTGGCGGTGGCTCTCTGCACCCTCGGTCCCGTCCGGACGTCCAATCCTCTGTCCCCCGCCGCCGCGCCCGCCGCTGATTGCGCCGGCAAGGGGAAGGCGGGCAGCAACTGCTCAGGTAAGCTGCAGGACCGGCGGGTTGGGCTCTTGGGCGGGGAGTGGAGGGAAGGGTTGGACGGCCCACAAGCGCTCCTGCTGCCCACGCCCGAGCATCCTTCCTTCCTTCGTGGCTTACCTTCCCCGTCTTTCGCGCCCTTAACCGCTCGGGGGTGGGTGGGCTTTCCGCCTCAAAACGCCCATCTGGGCACACCACGCCGCGCCACATGGGCTCCTTCCTCCTTCGTTCTCGTCCATTCCCCCGCCCCTTCCTTCCCTTCCATGCTTAATAGCTCCGTCAGTAACCAGCCCCATCTTTGTCTTGCCTTGTCAGTCACACTTTTGAAAACCATCACGCCACTTTCCTGCCTGCCTTCTCTCCCTCCTCGCCCCCACCACCCCTCGAATTCCCCGCGCCACGTTCCGGTTCCGAAGAGCGAGAGCCGCCGGAATTCGGAGGCACTTTGCTCCGCTGTCGACATGCACGGGATTTCAAGCACTGGGGAGGGGGGGGGGGAGAACAGGGGACGATTGCTGCCTCTTAATATGCCGCGAAACAGGTTCCGCGCAGGCTCTGCCTCCTTCCTGCTAGTTTCACCTGATCGATCTGGTTCTGAGTCTCTCTACCACACGGTGTGCAAAATAAAGAAGAGAGGTTGCCCATTGCAGGGCAATCCCAACTCGCCAGGAACCCGCTTGCCCAGAGCCATCGTCAGGTTGTGCAGGTGGACATGGATGGAAGTGGGTCAAGAGCTTAATTTCAACCAGTCTGCTTTTGGACCCAAGGTTCGGCCTTGGGCTAGAGAATATGATGTTCATACAGGGATTGCACCTGATTGTTTTTAGGTAAGTTATATAGAATTGCACCTGCAAACGACCACCTCTTTAGGTGCAGTTCGATAACTTACCTAAGAACAAGATGTTGTTCAGTCAGTCTTCCTTTCTAAATAGAAATGCATGGGATTATCTTCGAAATGTTATTCACTACTTCATAGGCCAACACTATATGTATATTCCAAAGTAAGCAAAATTTGCCTGGGCTTGCTTTCAGGTATTGTATGCAGTAGGTTTTCACTAGCAACACCTTTTAAAATTTGCTTACTTGGAAGTAAATCCCACTGACTTTAGTGACACTGAAACTTATGCACGGGCCTGGGTTGAAGAAGATTTTCTTTTTTTCAGTTCAGATGTGTGTGCTTTTTATTGTGGAAGCTGAACGCTGCCTGGGTGCAAAATCACACTGGCCTGTAAAATCTCACAAATTATCATCCACACCTCTTTTTTTATACAAAGGTCTCAACAGAAGCTCCACCTTCTTTCCCTCTTTGCCTTTCACACCCATGCATTTCAGAGCCCTGTGCTCCTTCGGACATGAATATGGGAAAGTAAATCTGGGAATGTGAACATTGACCTTGTGCGGGCAGTGAGGGGGTCAACAATTCATGCCCCTGGAACCACTGGCCAGGTGATACGGGTTCATTTCCTATTGCTGGAAGATATACTGCACTGTTTGTGCAGCTCTGATTTCAAAGTTGTACTTTTTTAGTTGTACCTCAAGAATGGAAAATAATTTCTGTTCAAAAGTCAACAAAAGGAAAAACAAACAAACAGGTAGCATCTCTTTTGTTTCTCTCTCCTGAATACATATCACCACAGTTACTGCATCCATACTCAACACTTTCCCGCTGTTTTTTTCACCCGTTTCTTAAAAAGATTGCCTGAGAAACTCCAAGTGTGGAGATGTTGCTTCTGTAACCTGTTTAGATAATTGACCTGCTTCTTGTCAAGTCTGCAGCATTAATAAATATAATACAAGCTCCTAGATCAATTCTAGCCTCTATAATCTAGAAAGACTTATTGTAAAATACTTTTGTGATGAGAACAAATGTAATTTTTTTTTAAAAATGCCTTGTCTAAATGGTTACTTTATTCTTCATTCAACACCTTGCAGAAATCAATGCTGTTTTTTTAACCTCACATTTATTTTTAAAAGGTTATCTTTCCAAATTAGTAGTACTTAAATAGATGCAGGAAATTACAGGACATTAAACTTATAATTGGGATTGTGTTTCTAAAAATGATGTTTTTCTTAAGCATATTTCTAGTTCATTGTTCCTTTTGACTAGAGCTTTGCCTTCCTCAAAGTATTCTATCTGTCATTTTTGTATGTTTTTTTCTTCCTCATTTGAAGAGCATGGATGATTGCTCTGAAAGGATTGCTAGTAGAAATTACCTGCAACTGCTAGAGCCAAATTCATGAGAGATTCATACGAGATTCTTCTTTCCAATCTCATTCTCTTCTCTGAGAGATGAAGACGGCTTTTTAAAACAGCTTTGAGCACTTGATACAGTACTCTGTTTTGGTAGCTTGTTATTTATTGACAGCACATTTCCCTGGCTTTTTCAGGAATGAATTCCAATATAGCCTTTAAAAAAAAAGCAAGTTTGTGTAGGATTACAATCTTAAGTTTGCAGTCTTTTTGAGACTTGCTAAAGACCAAATTCTATAGGAAATATCAGAATTAACCTTAAACATATACTGTATAGGTTTGGGTTGAGTTGACTATCAAAAGAACAGGCAACTAAGGCCCTAACCAGGTGTAACAATGGAATGATCTATGTTTGGAATGTTGAAGCAAAAAGAGGAAGAGAATGTGGAACTCTTTCTTTCCTGCAGATTTCCTCCAAATTTGTAAACGTTCTGAATTTGGCTCCCACACCAACAGGTTTAAATTACAATGAGAAGAAATTAGTGAATAGGGAGGAATAGCTGCAAATTTTATAAACCCTGTAGCATTAAGCATATATCTAAGGTTCTAGTAAGTGACTTATTTCCATGTAGACAGGCATAGGCTAAAACTATTTATATTGCACTATGCCTTCTTTGTCATCTTTGTTGTAGACAACTCTGACAATGGTAGTTGGTGTGGTTAGTAATTTCTAGAAGCAAAAGTCATCCCACAATGTAAATTTTACCTCTATTTGTTCCCTTGATCCTTGCTTGTTGAGTTTCTCATGCCCTGTAGCATTAAGCATATATCTAAAGTCTAGTAAGTGACTTATTTTCATATAGACAGGCATAGGCTAAAAATATTTATATTGCACTACGCCTTCTTTGTCATCTTTGTTATAGACAACTCTGACAATGGTAGTTGGTGTGGTTAGCAATTTCTAGAAGCAAAAGTCATCCCACAATGTAAATTTCACCTTTGTTTGTTCCCTTGATCCTTGCTTGTTGAGTTTCTCATGCTGTGATTATAGACATGTTGATGGTGTATTTGAGCAAAGTGTTGCTCTTGCATGCTTTACTTGGATTCCTTTTGCATTCACATAATGACTTACCATGTTTTGTGCAAAGAAAGATTAGTAGGTTAATTTGCTACTGTTAAATGCCAGTTTGTCCAACCAAGCTTATATAGCTTGCATGCTGCTTGGGAAAGTCAAATGAGATTTATTTTAAAAAGCTGGCAGACAAAGTAGATTTTTGGACCTGATATTTCTCTATAATGCCTATAAATATACCAGTGCTATTTTAAATGAAGAGAAATCACATGCATTCAGCATAAAGAACAAGAAAACAAAATTGAACAGTATAACATAAAAGACAAGTCTGCAAAGGTTTTGTTTTACTTGTGTAATTGGAGAACATATTCTGCAAATTATAATACTTAGTATGGAAATATCTCCCAAGGGTCTTCTTTATATTCAGAGCTGCTTAATTTGGATACAACACAGACTTTCAAATCTAATTAATTTATCTAGTGTACACTAGGATGCTGTAGCTGATGTTCTTTTCAAAGTATAGTTTCTGCCTTTTTCACTGTGAGGTTTCTGTGTCCAGTAATGATGAATTACCTTTTAGAGAACCATGTTTCCCACTTTTTTTATATTTCCTTATGCAGATATTTGATAATAAGCCATAGAGATGCCTTATGACCTTAACTATAATTCCTTCTCTTTTCTTTCCAGTTATCCAAATAATCCATTATTCTTTATGTACACTCTCCCCCTTCCTTCTGACTTAATCTCTCATTGTACTGATGATATTTGACAGAATTACAAGGCAGTGCCAGAATTATATTTGCATAATCCATTCTAACATTCTTCTTCCCTCAGAATCTCTTGTCCTGGCATGAGTAATTCTAGTGGATTCCTCCCTGGATCATGTTCTATTATTCAGACATCTTTGTATGGCAATTAAGGTATAATGAGTAAGACACTAATTAAGATCTTAATGGGAAAAAACCCTTTCAAATGAGCATGGCAGTTTCAAACTCTTTCCCTAAGTAGTTTGGTTGAATTAGATGATAAAATATCTAATGGAACTTCAAGAGGCAAAATTCCTTATATTCCTTAACTGCTAGCCATCTTCTTCCTCACAACCAACATGGCTGGAGGAAGCAAGGAGATGGGTTATTTTTTTTCTGTAAATCTTATTAACCTACTTTATGATTAAATAATTTTAGATTATTGTATAGTCTCATTCCATTCACATCAGTGAATGGATTCTATCTTCCTTGCCTAAAATTTTAGCTGTTCAGTAAATCTAATTTCAAAGTTAACTCCATCCACCTCTTCAGATACTTGGCTACTGCTATATCATTTATATATACTTTTTCTTCTACTGAAAATAAAATTTAGGTAGAGTTCATGGATTTTCATCAGTCTTTATTGAAATGCAGAATGTGGCTTTCCCCCTTTATTCATGTTAAAAAATTAGGGATAGGACAGTAAACAAAGATAGTGACAACCTCATGATGACCAATTTCACATTTTTCTTGCTCATAACAAAATGTTTTCTAAAAGCAAGATGATCTCAGTTAAATAACTGGTCAATAGATCTGGTGTAGTTTCAAAGGCAATGGAGAGCAATGATATATTGAGATTGCATTTATATTAATTTAAATAAATGATATCCTTCTGCTGATAAAACTGCTACCAGCAGCAAGAGAGGGCAATTTCCATTACCAGTTGTAGGCTGTGAGAAAACATAGCAGATCTGTTCTCAAACTGAACTTCTGA